TCCTTCTTTCTTCCTTCCTTCTTTCTTTTCTCTGTCTTCCTTTCCTTTCATTCATTCTGCCTCTCCTCTCTCCCTCCCTTTCTCCTTCCTTCTTTCCTTCTTCCTTCCTTCTTTCTTTTCCTTTGCTTTGCTTTCCTTCCTTCCGCCTCCCCTTACTCCTTTCCTCTCTTCTTCCTTCTTTCTTCCTTCCTTCTTTCTTTTCTCTGTCTTCTTTTCCTTTTCTTCCTTCTGCCTCCCCTCACTCCCTCCTTCCTTTCTTCCATCTTCCTTCCTTCCTTTTTGTTTTCCTTCTTTTCTTCCTTCTTTATTTTCTCTGTCTTCCTTCCTTCCATCCACCCATCATTCTTCCTTTTCTTTTTTCTGTCCTCCTTCCTTATTTATCTTTCTTCCTTTACATCTTTCTTCTTCCTTCCTTCCTTGTTTATCTTCTTTCTTTCTCTACTTCTCCTTCCCTCTTTCCTCCTCCTCCTTTCTTCTCCTTTCCCTTCCTTCCTTCCCTCCCACCCTCTCTGTCTTCCTCTTTCTTTTACTTCTCCTTCCTTCTGTTATAAAAATAATTCATAAAACAGGAACACAGACAAACCACAAGCAATAAATCTTAACTTTAAGGTCAGAAGTTTATTTCATGAGCAATCTGGAACACGAAAAGCCATCATAACATTACTTATATCAGTAAGTAAGCCATCGCAATGAAGTCCAGAGACAGTAGCTAACTCCAGAAAGGATAGCTACTATCAGTCGCCCGCATTTGAGTTTTCTCCCCTTCTTTTCTCCCCTTCTTCTTCTGAAGCCCACCCAGTAGCATGTAATCTTACTGGATATACTTCCCTATTCCCTCAAAATGCCCATCACTTAACACCCACTTGTAGGTGTATACCAACTTTCTTACCATCTGCTACTTTCAGTTCCCCTTTTTCTCAATGTCCCAGGCATTCGTGATCCAAAATAGCTCTATTTTTAATTGTCCAGCAAATATATGCTTTTTCCAAAAGTAGCAGATAGCAAATATTTTGCTGTGCCTGCAAATTCAGCTGAGCTGGTGTTATAATATGCATGCATGTATGTATATATATATTTAATTCAAGGCCTTCAATTAAGCAGAGGCCTATACTAATGTTAAACCCTAGTTGACCTTTTCACACTTCCTTCCCCTTCTTTCTTTCTTTCTTCTTTTTCAATTATTTTATTAAATTTATACGGCACCCCATCCCCCCCATTATCAAGCAACCTTGCACAGCTTACAGTGTCATGATACGATCAAAATATTAAAAGCATTGGTGCAGTAAAAGTTGAAACATTAAGATATTAATTTATGGCTATTTGCAGCCTCCCACAATTTATGACATTTTCTTGCATTTATTTCCAATTTCTGGCAAAAAGATGCCCAGCAGGAATACATAATGACCACAGCAGCGGTCGCTGAACAAACCCAGCATTGACTTAACAAGAATGTTTGCTTAATGGCTGGTACAGAAAAAGATTGGAAAATTGGGCACAATCCTGTGGTGACCTGTTTAACAACCAACACAAATTACAGGCTCAATTCTGGTCGTAACTCGAGGACTATCTGCATTTGGGTAGGCTTCTGGGGCATTTTATTTGTGCCATTTTATTTGTGCCATTTTAATCATATATTTTTTTCTGTTAACTTCCTTTGTTGCCCTTGAGGGTAAATCTAGAAAGTTTGATCTAATTTGAGAATTTCTTTTCAGTTGCTGGGATTTAATCGAATCTCCATACTGGTGGATTATCAAAGCTCCCATTTTGGTTTCTATACTGGTAAGGTATCTGTGTGGTTTTCGATTTCTTTCGCCATCTAAACCAGGAGTCTCCAAATTTGGCAACTGTAAGACTTGTGGACTTCAACTCCCAGAATTCCTCAGCCAGGAATTCTGGGAGTTGAAGTCCACAAGTCTTACAGTTGTCAAATTTGGAGGCCCCTGATCTAAATACCTTGAAATAACTTCCTGTCATCTCTGTGGTTTGATTCTGTGTAAATAAAACGGTACAGGTGGTTCTCAACTTACAACCGCAGTCGAACCCAAATCTGCCATTGCTAAGCAAGACAGTTATTACGAGAAATTTGCCCCATTTAAAGGCTTCCTTGCCATCATTGTTAAGTGAATCACTGCCATTGTTAAGATAGTGACACTGTTGTTAAGCGAATCTGGCTTCCTCATTGACTTTGCTTATCAGTGGGTCACAAAAGTGGATCATATAACCCTGAGACACTGTAACCGACCGTCATAAATATGAATCAGTTGCCAAGGGTCTGAATTTTGATCACACGACCATGGAGATGCTGCAATGGTTGTTAAGTGTGAAAAATGGTCATAAGTCACTTTTTTCAGTGATCTTGTATCTTTGAACAGTCGCTAAATGAATAGTTTGTAAATGGAGGACTGGTTTGATTCTGTGAAAATAAACATGACTGGTGGTCCTTGATTTATGACCACAATTGAACTCCAAACTTCCATTGCTAAGCAAGACAGTTGTTAAGTGGTGTTTTTTCCCTGTTTTATGACCTTTCTTGCCACCGTTGTTAAGTGAATCGCCACCGTTGTTAAGTTAGTCATGTGGGTTGTTAAGAACCTGGCTGAGTAGAAGGGAAATATGGAGAGATTTCCTTCAGGCCTACTTAAATAAATGGAACTGAGCTCAAAGATAAATTTTGTAAGAGGCAAATACAGCTATTCCTCGACTTACAACCATTCATTTAATGCCTGTTCAAAAGTTATAACGGCACTGAAAAAAAAGGATTTATCCTCAGACTTACGACTATCGCCTCATCCCTGGTGTCACACGATTAAAATTCGGGTGCTTGGCAACATAACGTTTTGTTCAGAGTTTTGCCGTGTTAATTCAGCGCCAGAAAAATAAACACAGATGGCTGATGCTTCATTTAATGTCTTTATAAACATAATAAGTAGATTTTACAAACCAGTTGTAGATTTCTCTAACATGGAGCAAACTCAGACACAAAACATCTTGCAAGTAACTTCAGGAGCACAGAGTTCCAGTCTTCAGCAAAGCAAACAAATTAGTTTCTTTTACTTTAGTTCAGCAAGCAAGCAGAGGAGAGAAGCAGTTTCATTTTCAATAGACAGACTCAAGAGCTCAACATAGCTTCAGAGCTGCAGAGCTTAATACAGAGCCACGCCTAGGCTACTTCTAGTTTCAGTTTCCAAACAGCCCTCATTGGCTGACTTAGTTGCTATGCCTATTCATTGACTGACCTTGTTACCAAGCTCTATTCCAGTTCATGAATAAACTCTGACAACGTTTGCACTGTCCTGGGGTCTTTGGTGACCTTTCCAGCTGGCTTCAGACAAGCAAAGTCGAGGGGGAGAATTTGGATTCACTTAACGACCGCCTGGTTTTCGTAATAACTGCCGGATTCATCTACAAACGGCCAGATTTACTTAACGACACCAGATTCACTTAAGGGTAATAACTCCTTAATGACCATGGCAGAAAAGGTTTTAAAATCAGGTGCGACTCGTTTAAATAGCTGCAAGTTGTTGATTAGCAATGGAAATTCTGCTGGTCATAAGTCGAGGACTGTCTGTACAACGCCAGCTCTCTACGCTTTTGGCCTGTTTTTTTCTGAAAAAAAATACCTCAGGAATAGACGATCCATATCCGTGTCTCTCCTCTGCACAACAAGGGATTTTAATGCTCTTTTTAAAATATGTTCAACAGGTCAACTTTGTACTCTTTATTTGCATCATCCGGATCCTGGTTCAGAAGCTTCACTCTCCGGATGTCGGGCGAAACGAAACAAGCCAATATTCGTAAGTTCGGACCTCCATTTGGGGGGTTACCTGAACCTGTGAAACCATCCTTCTTTCCTTCTGTCCATCTTTCTTTCTTCCTTCTGTCTTTTCTCTGTCTTCCTTCCTTCCATCTTTCTTCCTTTTTTCTGTTCCTTCTTTCCTCCCTTCGTTTTTTATTTTTCTTTCTTTCTCTACATCGTTCTCCTTTCCTCCTTCCTTCCTTCTTTCCTTCTCTCCTCCTATTCCTCTTTCTCCTTTCTTCTCCTTTCCCTTCCTTCCCTCCTTCCTTCCTTCCAGATGTCGGGTGAGACAAAAGAAGCCAATATTTGTAAGTTCAGACCTCCATGTGGAGGTATCCTGAAGCTGTGAACCCTTCCTTCCTTCTTTCTATCTTTCTTTCTTCTTTCTTTCTTTTTTCTGTCTTCCTTCCTTCCATCTTTCTTCCTTTTTTCTTTTTTCTGTTCCTTCTTTCTTTCCTTCATTTTTCTTTCTTTCTCTACATCTTTCTCCTTTCCTTCCTTCTTTCTTTCCCTCCTCCTCCTCCTCTTTCTCCTTTCTTCTACTTTTCCTTCCTTCCTTCCTTCCTTCCTTCCTTCCTTCCTTCCTTCCCTCCTTCCTTCCTTCCTTCCTTCCTTCCTTCCTTCCAGATGTCGGGCGAGACGAAACAAGCCAATATTTGTAAGTTCAGACCTCCATGTGGAGGTATCCTGAAGCTGTGAACCCTCCCTTCCTTCCTTCCATCTTTCTTTTTTCTTTTTTCTGTCTTCC